TGGGGCACAGCAGGGTTCAAGGTGTAGGGTAGGGGGTGTAGGGCATGGTGGGGTTCAAGGCATGGGGCACGGTGGGGTTCCAGGTGTGGGGCACGGTGGGGTTCAAGGCATGGGGCAGGGGGCACGGTGTGGTGCAAAGCACAAGCACAGTGCACAGTCTCATGGTGCGTGGCCGTGGTGCACGGCACGGGGCACGGCGGGGATGCACGGGGCACGGGGCCACGTGGTGCCTGGCACAGGGGTGCGGGGGGCACGGTGTGGGGCACATGGCACAATGCAGGGGCCCCGTGCACGGCACAGAGCACGGTGCACTGTGCAAGGCATGGTGCACGGTGCAGGGGTCACGGTGCATGGTGTGGGGCACGTTGCACGGCGCAGGGCACGTTGCACGATGCAGGGGTCACAGTGCATGGCATGGGGCACAGAACATGGTGCATGGCACAGGGCACGTTGCACGATGCAGGGATCACGGTGCATGGCACAGGGCACGTTGCATGATGCAAGGTGCACAGTGCATGGCACAGAACGTGGTGCAAGGCACAGGGCACGTTGCACGATGGAAGGTGCACAGTGCATGGCACAGAACATGGTGCACGGCACAGGGCACGTTGCACGATGCAGGGGACGCAGTGCATGGCACAGGGCACGGTGCACTGTGCAAGGCATGGTGCACGATGCAGGGGTCACGGTGCATGGCGTGGGGCACGTTGCACGGCGCAGGGCACGTTGCACGATGCAGGGGTCACAGTGCATGGCGCAGGGCACGTTGCACGATGCAGGGGTCACAGTGCATGGCATGGGGCACAGAACATGGTGCATGGCACAGGGCACATTGCACGATGCAGGGGCCACAGTGCGTGGCACAGGGCACATTGCACGGCGCAGGGCACGTTGCATGATGCAAGGTGCACAGTGCATGGCACAGAACATGGTGCATGGCACAGGGCACATTGCACGATGCAGGGGTCACAGTGCATGGCATGGGGCATGGTGCACAGCGCAGGGCACATTGCACGATGCAGGGGTCACGGTGCATGGCACAGGGCATGTTGCACGATGCAAGGGGCATGGTGCACGGCGCATGGCACGTTCTACGATGCAAAGTGCACAGTGCATGGCACAGAACATGGTGCATGGCGCAGGGCACGTTGCACGATGCAGGCGTCACGGTGCATGGCGTGGGGCATGTTGCACGGTGCAGGGCACATTGCACGATGCAAGGGGCACGGTGCATGGCACAGAACGTGGTGCAAGGCACAGGGCACGTTGCACGATGCAGGCGTCACGGTGCATGGCGTGGGGCACGTTGCACGGCGCAGGGCACATTGCACGATGCAGGGGTCACAGTGCACGGTGCAGGGGACGTTGCACAATGCAGGGGCCCCGTGCATGGCACGGAACATGGTGCATGGCACAGGGCACGTTGCACGATGCAGGGGTCACAGTGCATGGCATGGGGCACGTTGCACGATGCAGGGGCCCCGTGCACGGCACAGAGCATGGTGCACCGTGCAAGGCATGGTGCACAATGCAGGGGTCACAGTGCATGGTGTGGGGCACGTTGCACGGCGCGGGGCACCTTGCACGATGCAGGGGTCACAGTGCACAGTGCAGGGCACATTGCACGATGCAGGGGTCACAGTGCATGGCGTGGGGCACGTTGCACGATGCAAGGTGCATGGTGCATGGCACAGGGCATGTTGCACGGTGCAGGGGTCACAGTGCACAGTGCAGGGCACATTGCACGATGCAGGGGTCACAGTGCATGGTGTGGGGCACGTTGCACGGCGCGGGGCACCTTGCACGATGCAGGGGTCACAGTGCACAGTGCAGGGCACATTGCACGATGCAGGGGTCACAGTGCATGGCGTGGGGCACGTTGCACGATGCAAGGTGCATGGTGCATGGCACAGGGCATGTTGCACGGTGCAGGGGTCACAGTGCACAGTGCAGGGCATGTTGCACGTCGCACGATGCAGGGTGCAAGGCGCAGGGCACGGCCACGCCACCCGGCACAGCACATGGTGCAGGTTGCACGACCGCCTGGCACACTTCCTCGTGCACAGCACGTGGCCTGGGGAGGTGGGTGTGTGTGTGTGGGGGGGAAATCCGTGCAACATCACCTGCACGCTCAGGGCTGGCACCAGCCCCTGGTGCCACCCCCCCCCCATGGCAGCAGGTGGCACAGGGCATGTTGCACGGTGCAGGGGTCACAGTGCACGGTGCAGGGCACGTTGCACGATGCAGGGGTCACAGTGCATGGCGCAGGGCACGGCCACGCCACCCGGCACAGCACGTGGTGCAGGTTGCACGACCGCCTGGCACACTTCCTTGTGCACAGCACGTGGCCCGGGGAGGGGTGTGTGTGGGGGGGGGAAATCCGTGCAACGTCACCCACACACAGCGGGTGACACGGGGCACAATCACTCACCGGGGTCCCTCCGGCCGCCCGCCCCGTGCAGGTTGGTGCTGTCGGAGATGGAGCTCCCCGTCCGGGTCCTGCTGCGGCACGAGGCCTGGGGACACCACAGGGGGCAGGGACCACGGTCACCGTCACCCATCTGCCCACCCCGTCCCCCGAGGAACACCCACACCAGTCCTGGTGACACCACAGGGGTCAGGGGCCACTGTCCCCGTCACCCATCTGCCCCCCCCGTCACCCGAGGGACACCCACACCAGGCCTGGTGACACCAGAGGGGTCTGGGAACACCACAGGGGTCAGGGGCCACTGTCCCCGTCACCCATCTGCCCCCCCCGTCACCCGAGGGACACCCACACCAGGCCTGGTGACACCAGAGGGGTCTGGGAACACCACAGGGGTCAGGGGCCACTGTCCCCGTCACCCATCTGCCCCCCCCGTCACCCGAGGGACACCCACACCAGGCCTGGTGACACCAGAGGGGTCTGGGAACACCACAGGGGTCAGGGGCCACTGTCCCCGTCACCCATCTGCCCCCCCCGTCACCCGAGGGACACCCACACCAGGCCTGGTGACACCAGAGGGGTCTGGGAACACCACAGGGGTCAGGGGCCACTGTCCCCGTCACCCATCTGCCCCCCCCGTCACCCGAGGGACACCCACACCAGTCCTGGTGACACCAGAGGGGTTTGGTGACACCACAGGGGTCAGGGGCCACTGTCCCCGTCACCCATCTGCCCACCCCATCACCCGAGGGACACACACTCCAGGTCTGGTGACACCAGAGGGGTCAGGGACCACCATCCCTGTCACCCGAAGGACACCCACACCAGTCCTGGTGACACCAGAGGGGTCAGGGACCACCCTCCCCCTCACTCATCTGCCCCCCCCGTCACTCGAGGGACACCCACACCAGGCCTGGTGACACCACAGGGGTCAGGGACCACCATCCCCATCACTCATCTGCCCACCCCGTCACTCGAGGGACACCCACACCAGGCCTGGTGACACCACAGGGGTCAAGGACCCCCATCCCCGTCACCCATCTGCCCACCCCGTCACTCGAGGGACACCCACACCAGGCCTGGTGACACCACAGGGGTCAAGGACCCCCATCCCCGTCACCCATCTGCCCACCCCGTCACTCGAGGGACACCCACACCAGGCCTGGTGACACCACAGGGGTCAAGGACCCCCATCCCCGTCACCCATCTGCCCACCCCGTCACCCGAGGGACACCCACACCAGTCCTGGTGACACCAGAGGGGTCAGGAACCACCATCCCTGTCACCCATCTACCCACACCGTCACTCAAGGGACACCCACACCAGTCCTGGTGACACCACAGGGGTCAGGGACCACCATCCCCTCACCTGAGGGACACCCGCACCAGTCCTGGTGACACCACAGGGGTCAAGGATCACCATCCCCGTCACCCAAGGGACACCCACACCAGTCCTGGTGACACCAGAGGCATCAGGGACCACCCTCCTCGTCACCCAAGGGACACTCACTCCAGGTCTGGTGACACCAGAGGGGTCAGGAACCACCATCCCTGTCACCCATCTACCCACACCGTCACTCAAGGGACACCCACACCAGTCCTGGTGACACCACAGGGATCAGGGACACCTACTCCAGGTCTGGTGACACCATAGGGGTCAGGGACCACCATCCCCGTCACCCAAGGGACCCTCACTCTAGGTCTGGTGACACCACAGGGATCAGGGACCACCCTCCCCGTCACCCATCTGCCCACCCCGGCACCCAGGGGACACCAACACCAGTCCTGGTGACACCAGAGGGGACACCATCCCCATCACCCATCTGCCCACCCTGTCACCCGAGGGACACCCACACCAGTCCTGGTGACACCACAGGGGTCAGGGACCACTGTCACCATCACCCAAGGGACACTCACACTGGGTCTGGTGACACCAGAGGGGTCAGGGACCACCGTCCCTGTCACCCATCTGCCCATCCCATCACCCGAGGGACACCCACACCAGTCCTGGTGACACCAGAGGGGTCAGGGACCACCATCCCCATCACCCTTCCCATCCACCCCTTCACCCGAGGGACACTGGCACCACCCCCTGGGTGCCCACTGGTGTCCCCGTGTCCTCACCTCCTCGTCCCTGCCCACCATGTCACCATCACCCAAGGGACACTCACACTGGGTCTGGTGACACCAGAGGGGTCAGGGACCACCGTCCCTGTCACCCATCTGCCCATCCCATCACCCGAGGGACACCCACACCAGTCCTGGTGACACCAGAGGGGTCAGGGACCACCATCCCCATCACCCTTCCCATCCACCCCTTCACCCGAGGGACACTGGCACCACCCCCTGGGTGCCCACTGGTGTCCCCGTGTCCTCACCTCCTCGTCCCTGCCCACCAGGACCAAGTGACCATCCACCAAGGAGAAGTTGGAGACGTCCCACACCAGGGCGTCGGGTGCCGGAGTCCCATGGGTGCTCACTGGGGGTGTGGGGCAAGGTGTGAGGGGGACACCGGGTGCTCACCGTGTCCCTGTCACTCATGGGCAGCGTGGCAGTGCCAGGGGACGTGTGGCTGTGGCCATGCCACCACGGGTGTGGTGATACTGAGGGACACGTGGCCATGGAGGTGCCACCATGGGTAGGGAGATGCCAGGGGACGTATGGCCATGGCCACACCACCATGGGGACATGTGGCCATGGAGGTGCCACCATGGGTAGGGAGATGCCAGGGGACGTATGGCCATGGCCACACCACCATGGGGACATGTGGCCATGGAGGTGCCACCATGGGTAGGGAGATGCCAGGGGACGTATGGCCATGGCCACACCACCATGGGGACATGTGGCCATGGAGGTGCCACCATGGGTAGGGAGATGCCAGGGGACGTATGGCCATGGCCACACCACCATGGGGACATGTGGCCATGGAGGTGCCACCATGGGTAGGGAGATGCCAGGGGACGTATGGCCATGGCCACACCACCATGGGGACATGTGGCCATGGAGGTGCCACCATGGGTAGGGAGATGCCAGGGGACGTATGGCCATGGCCACACCACCATGGGGACATGTGGCCATGGAGGTGCCACCATGGGTAGGGAGATGCCAGGGGACGTATGGCCATGGCCACACCACCATGGGGACATGTGGCCATGGAGGTGCCACCATGGGTAGGGAGATGCCAGGGGACGTATGGCCATGGCCACACCACCATGGGGACATGTGGCCATGGAGGTGCCACCATGGGTAGGGAGATGCCAGGGGACGTATGGCCATGGCCACACCACCATGGGGACATGTGGCCATGGAGGTGCCACCATGAAGGGGGCGATGCCAGGGGACACATGGCCATGCCACCATGGGTAGGGTGACGCTGAGGGACACGTGGCTATGGAGGTGCCACCATGGATGTGGCAATGCCATTGTCACACTTGGCTATGGCCATGGCGTGGTGGTAACAAGGCCGGGTGGCACCCGGTGGCCCTGCCCACACCGTGGGTGGCCCTGCCCACACTGTGGGTGGCCCTGCCAGAGCCCAGCCGGTTCTGCCAGCTCTGGGTGGCACGGCTCCAGGTGCCCTCAGGGGGGGCAGGGCCACTGGGGCCAGGTGGGACCCAGCCATCCTGCACCCATGGGTGCCCCCCACCCAACCCTGGAGGGCACCTGTGGGTGGGAGCTCCCCAACACCAGCAAAGCCTGGCCAGATCCTGCACCCCAATGTGTCACCCACCGTCACCCACCCATCACCCACCACCTCCCAGACCCCAGTGGTCACCACGACCCATTACTACCCATCACCCCCAACCCATCACCCATCACCACCCACCCATCACCCCAACCCACCGCCCATCACCCACCCCATCCCAGATCATCACCCGTTTCCATTGTCCACCACTTATCAGCCCCCAACCTATCACCCACCACCTCTAATCCACCACCCATCATCATCTTCACCCACCACCCATCACCCCCAGCCCATCGCCCATCATCATCTTCACCCACCACCTACCCATCATCCCCCAACCCATTGCCCATCACCACCACCCACCCAACCCATCACCCATCGTCATCTTCACCCACCACCCCTCAATCCATCACCCATTGCCATCACCCACCGACCACCCAACCCACCACCATCAACCACCTACCACCCATCATCATCTTCACCCACCACCCATCACCCCTCAATCCATCACCCATCACCATCACCCACCAACCACCCAACCCACCACCACCA